AGTCTAATTTAACCACCTCGACTATAGTGAAGCACGAAGTGGCATGAACATCATAGGTTTTATAAAATGATGAACTCCAAAAATTTTAAATTCCTTCAGCGTTTTGTCGAGAGAGTTTGAAAAACAGTACAATGTTTTATCATGCACAAGTGAAGAAATGAAGATCTACCATAGAACACATCAACTTATATCCAGTTAAGTGAGCAGCAAAAAGAAATTTGCAACCAATGAGTACCCGTTAAACAGACCATCGGAGAAGGGTAATCATTTAAATGCTTATCAAAAGAACATTGAAAAACACCATAACACCATCAAACAACGTTGCGAATACAATTTCTTTTTCTTTTCTTCTTCTTACCCTACCATTGCATTTTAGCCGATAATACTACAATTCACTGAGACAAAAACAGGTCAAAAAAAGACAAATCTAACGAAAAAAAACAGAATGACAAACTTAAGAAGAATTTTCGAGTAAAAACCAAATTACAAGTAACCACAGATTTACAGAACTGGTAAAAACCAACAAATGAAAGTAAAGGAAAAAGAATCAAGGATATTTGACTGACATCAGAATGAAGCAGTTGAAGTATTAATAAGTTTTTTTTTCAAGGAATAATAAAGATAACCACATTTATAAGACAGCATGATAACAAAATGAAAAATTATAAAGAAACTGAGTTCCCTTATTTCAGACAAAAACTATAAGAAAAGCAGGTTTTTTTCAGAGAGGGAGGAAAAGAACCTCAGCTGTATGCAAAAATTTTTCGCACTTTTGTTCCCTAAGCTGAATCTGAAAATGAAAAAAAAAAACACAACCGAATCAATTCCATATCCTTCCCTAGCATCAACTGGTTGTCGAACAATATAAATCCAATTTCCAACCAACTCTAGTCAGTTTGTGGTGATACCCACCGCAGACAAAACATGAACAAGAAGGATAGAGATTTGTACCCGAGAACAAACTGCATCCACGAGAGAGTACAACAACTAATGGAATACGATATAAACATTAGTACGCTTTCCATTAAAATTCATTCTTTTTAAACTGCAGAAGATATCCTTTGGAGCAAACAAGTGAACGACTTTGCGCCCAAGCAGTGTACCTGAAAGCAAAAAAAAACTCATAGTCATTTCTCGATTCAGTAAGAGTTCAATAGTTTTATTAATGGTAACTAATTGAACAATTAAATTACAACAAATCACAAAAAAACTTACCGTGCACACCAACCAAGTTCAAAAAGTCGATCATCTCCTAAATATGCTGCCGTTTTCTCGGCAACTTTTTCTCGTAATTCGCCAAGATGAGGATCATTATGTGTGAGGATCAAAATGTTATTTTCTGATGCATACTCTCGCAAATCTTGGGGTAACTAAAAAAAAATTT